GTGACAAGAAAAGTAAAGGAGACTTTGTACATCATCGTGGAGGAGAACTCCTGCAATGTGCAGAATGATTTTCAGAAGATAAGTTTAGCATATTCGCGTTTGTAATAATTTGTAAGGGAGACGACTTCACAGGTGTGATTAGGAGTTTTATAGGAAGATTTTTTTAAAGAACCGCCTTCAAAACCTCATAACAACTATGACTCTAAATTTGGGCTGTACAACAAATTATAAATCGCAACACGATGTTTTGGCCATCCTGCTAGAGCTCCATATGTGACCAATGGACTATTGTGACCAGTACGCCATTTTGGGGTTTATTCCCCAATTTTTTCTGCATAGTCTTTGACGAATGCCTAATACAACCTTAATGCGGGATGTTGCCTACGCGTTTTCCCCATTTCCACCTTTGTTCAAAGGTTATGCCAAGGCCAATGAGAAAGTTAAGCCTTCACCTTTTATAATGAGCGTGCTTATAATTCGTGCTTCCTTCTTTTTGTGAAGGATATAAAATGTGCTGTATTTTTGTTTTATCAAGGTTTATATTTAAACCCGTAATCTTACACCAACTTCCTATTATATTTAAGGCGCTTTGCACAAATTAGTTTAAAAAAATCTTATAAAGATTATAATATATCTAATAAAGATTTTAATTACAAATTATGCTGAACTGACTAAATTGTATTCCATAACATCTCCTTAGCTGTTTTAATGCTTTGAAAAAAAGGAATTTTAAATTACAAAGGGTTAATTTGAAGTTAAAATTGTATTAAAGAGGGTTAATTTTAAGCTAAAAATGGTTAGTTGAAGTTAAAATGTTTTTTAAAATACAAAAGTTAAAAAAAATTAAAAAAAATTTAAAAGATTAATTTGAAATTAAAAGGGTTAATTTCAAATGTCGTTAATTTGTCTTGTAAAAAGGTTAATTTAATGGAAAAAGGCGATACATTATATATTATTTTTAATGTTACAAAATGCGAGTATGTTTAAATAAATAATACAATTCCAAATTAAAAATAAATCGACCAAGTCTCCGATAGCGACTCTATCTCCCAGAATATTGGGGCTCCTCCAGCGTGTATATGTATATACATTACGCAGGGTGGGCGACCAAGACCTGAGGGGTTAAATGCCTGGGTAGACTCGTACCCCAGTCATTTAATTTCATCGTAAAGGTCCGGGACTTGGTCGGCTTACGTGTCCTGCATAAATCTCTTGGAGTTGATTACAAACCCCAAGATTTTGGACCATTTTATCTCGGGGAGTGATTTGGTGATGTCCTCTCCTTCAAAGATTTCTAATCTAGACCTAGCATACCTATCACACTCTGCGAGGTAGTGCCTTGTCGTTTCTTCATTTATTTCGCAAAAACGGCAAAACGGATCTGGTAGAAGAATACCCATTACGGAGAGGTGTCTTCTCAGTGGGCAGTGGCCCGTCAGAATACATATCAGCCTCCTAATTCCCTTCCTTGAGTTAGAGAATAGCCATTTCGATTCTGCTGGTTTGATCATCTTAACGAACTCCTTCGAATGCCTGTGTCCGGGGGATAAATTCCACTCCCTAAGGAATTGTTTCATGCCCCATTAATACTCTCTTTCGCTGTGCTCATAGAGTGAGTTAATAGCGGTTGTGGCCCGACAAACGCAGTATTAGAACCTTCTTTGGCCAGGCCATCCGCCTTTTCATTGCCATGGCGTCCTTTATGTGCTGGTATCCAAATAAGGGTCACCTTATTTTCAAACCTGAAAGAGATCCTATTGAAAAGATCTACAGTTTCCTCCACCAGTCCTGAGGTTGACAAATCTTTTTGTAATGCCCTAAGACTAGCCTGACTGTCAGAAAAAATTCTAATATCTTTTCCCTTAATTTTATTTTCCATAAGTGTTCTACAGCACACATTAATGGCTCAGATTTCCGCCTGAAAAACGGCGGTGTTATTGCCAAGAGAGGAGGAGATGCTGATTCCTTATGAAGGTATTCCTGACCACTCCCTCTACCTTTGATAAGGGAACCATCTGTGTAGCAGTCTATGTTGCGATGGTCATCATCCACACTATAATTATATTCGCAAGGGGTGACTACCTGAAAGTACTTTTTCCCCGAAGGGGTTTTAATCTTTTTATCACTAACGCTTAATAATTGGCCGTTAACCTTACTTAATTTTTGTGAGATTTTCGAGAGACCTACGTTACCGCACTTATGATTCCAGCTGCCTTCGCTAATTAATCTGTAGCAGGTGATTAGTGCTCTGACCTTAATCTCAATGTGTAGACGTGTGGTATTGGTTATAATTTCAAGTGCTAGGGTGGGGTGTAGTTGAAAATGTGTAGTGTCCTGTCATCATCAACCTAATCTTTGAAATGACCTTAATTTGTTACTGCTCCCTTTTTTCTAGACCTTTCCCCCATACTAAAGCTGCGAAAAATAATCTAGGTAGAATAATTGCAGTATATAGTCATTGGGCTACCCATGGTTTGATACCCCATGTTTTCCCGACAATTCTCCTACATTGTACCATTGATATTGTGCCTTTTCTGTATATGCTATTAATATGATCTTTCCAATCAAGTTTCCTGTCAAGCGTCATACCAAGGAATTTGAATGAATCCACTAACTTTAATTCTATGCCCTGAAATTTAGGGTTTTTAAAATTACCTAATGTTCTTCTCCTACTAAACATTATCAATTCCAGTTTAGCTGGATTAATTGTTAAACCTTTATCACAAGCAGTTTCCACTGATGTTCCTGGTAAATACGTATGCTGATTGGGATGTATCATTGTATTAATTCCACAATCATGTCTAATTGATCTATACCTATCTAACATTTTCTCTATTATTTTTATGAAAATAGAAGGCTTATAGGTTACTTATACTTATAGGTCTATAAGATTTAGGAAATTGATATGAGGCCTTACCTGGTTTGGGTCTCCTCCAGCGTAAGAACTTCCGGATCCACTCCGGCAGCGGTTTTGTTTAAAGTGGAATGTCTAACCACCCCATAGAGAAACACTGCCCTCGGAAGGAAACCGCGAACGGTACCCCCAGCAACAGGTTTACACCAACATCGCCACTAAGCCACTACGAGTATGGACTTCCATTCCCATGTAGCATGTTTTGGACTTGGAACATTTCTGCTACCCCCAGTTCAGATGGTTATGCACCTTCCCTCGTCTAAGCAGACACGATCTGTTACCCTAACCCTCGTGTGCCTCTGATAAAGCACCCGCCGTCCGCAGCCGACCCGGAGGCCGACACGATTCCAGCTTGTGCTTTGGAGAGGTTGCCACGCTCCCAAGGCTACACCATTATGTTATGCCCGGAGATCCCCCTTGCATCCAAGGATTGGGAGAGGTGTCAAGGACGTAATGCCGTAGAACCTGGATTGAGAAAGGGAAGTGACCGAGGACACCCCTCGCCTTGGCCACACTGTACCACCCATTGTCACTGTAGTCCCACATTTAATGGGGTATGACTCCTCAGGGTGGATAGAAGAGATGAGATGGCCGTTCAAGCGCTGAACGAATCGACCGCTTAGGTCAACAGTCAAATGTTAATTTTGCAATTAGCTTATTGTCCAAATTTATGCGTATATTCTGAAACTTTCTATATTGCAAAGTCCGCCATATACAGTGTCATTTTTAGATGGCCCGGCTCAATGTCTCTTGAACCTATGACGCCACAAAATAAAGAAATAAAAATAGGTGTTTAATATTTTTTAGTCTAATTTCAAATTTTTATCTTTTTGTGGGTAAAAGTTACCCAAGGTACCTCAGGCCCAGTTCAACGTCAACATTTCAAATACGACCTTATATATCTTGACACATCATTTGGGACTTTTCACGCTGCAAACAATGGTACAATCGGATTTTAAATCGTCAAAAACTGACAAAGTTATGACAAAAATATTGAAAAAACGCATTTCGTTTATTTCGTTGTTAATTCCAATAATTTGCTTTTTCACTCAAATAAACATTAATTGCCTTTATTGTTTACATTCTGTCATTGTTTGTATTCTGATGTCGGACTGGGCCTGAGATTCCCAGTATAATTTTTCTACAAAAAAAAAGGTAAAAATTTGAAACTAGACTAAAAATATTACCAAGTTTTTTTTTCGTCTTTGGTTTAAAAGAAATTTCGCCTGGCCATCTACAAAGACCCTCTGTACAACTTTTTTTATATTGAGTAAAGCTGTAAGTCATTGTTACCATTGAATGACAATCCTTTGATAAAACGTAAATATTAGGTTATGCAAGAATGCATCTTCATATGACGTAAATTCAATTATGCAAATGGCCTCAAAATATAATGTCACAAGATCTTAACCGGGGTACATAAACAATGTCATAACATCAACCTTTAAGCAATAACTAATGAAAAATTATCAAAAAGTTCCGCACAAGGTATGCATTGAATAAATGCCAAGGTCACGTGGGTCAACGAAAGTGAACCTTATGTACGACGGGGAGGTTGGGACATCATCGGTGGTGGCTGCTGTGTATTGATCTCTACAAACAGGTGGTCTCTCCTTCTCACTCTCTCACTCCCTCTCATTCACTCTGACCTATATCCACGGAGGCACGCCCTTTTTCCAATATTCAAAAAATCGAACCGATTTTTTGAAAGGGTGGCTATAAGCTCTGGTTGACAGCTCGGAGACAGATATAAAAGTTCATCGAAAAGGTTTACAGCGAGACAAAAACCAAGTTCGTTTCAAACATTTCGGTGAACGATTACTTAAAACAAAATATAAAATACATTTTTATTTTACTTTTAGGAGAAAATCTTTCAGTGGAAAAGATATTAAGAACACACGACAGATGTTACGATAATATTTTTCCCCGAAATATTTTTTTTCATAAAATTGAACTAATTAGGCAACTGTTATACTTTATATATAAAAAATACCTTATATAAATTGGTATGTGTACAAGTTATTCACCTCTTTGTTTAGTTTCTTGATAAACAAATACATTATTTGATTAAGTTAAACATTTTTACCTCCTATTCTTTGACGTTTAAAGTGAACAATTTGAAGCTCACCTGAAACAAAAAGAAACCCTTAAATTAGAATGAAAATGTTTAAAAGTTAAGGAAACGTGTTTTTTCAGACTGTCAAGAAGCATCTCAATCGAAAAAGCTGGAAAAATGTAAAATGGTAAAGCTACAGGGTAAGAGCCCGTGGGGAAGAATGCCCGGTGGAGAATATTTCTGTTGTAAGAAATTAAGGGAATAAACTATATTAAGCTTCCAAGATGATCGCCAACCCAGTTCTGTGAAGCTGATTTGTAAAGAGAAGATTCGAAGATACTACATTAGTGAGAATAATAGGAGGTGAGAACACAAAACGGGTATCACCCTGCACTGGTATCTCAGTTCGTCATAGAAAAGCTTCTTTATTTTTATGGTTGGCAGTACAAGAGAAACCAAGGTGGACTTGCTTTCGTTGTTTATTTTAAGGAATCCAGGATAATTAGAGGAGATATTCGACGAAATCCTATGCAAATCCTTGAATTTGTAACAAATTTAGAGAAATAGGCTGAAAATCAAGATTTGTAATGATTTATAGAACGAAAACAGTTTATTGTGACTTTCTGCAAAATTAAATCCTATGTTGGATTGAAAGGTAATGAAACAGACCCTGAGCAATATCAGCCCTTTATGTTGTAATGATCCACCTAAAACTTATATTGGCTATAAGTTAGGTGATGATTTTTGAAACAATATGAGCAGATATAAGCAGCAGCGATAAGGGGGCTGTTAGAAAGTTTTTTCTAACTGCGTTCAACCCAAGTTCTATTTAAAAGACTTTAACCATCTCTTTTTGTATATCGTCAACAAAGAGATACCAGTCAAGTCAAATATCTGGGTCCATATTTCCCGACAGCAGACTGACGTGGAATCCCACAACAACACTTAAAAACAACAGCTTAAACAAGACTTGGACTACTACGAAGACTTCTAAGACCAAAATCGACTTTGTCAACTAAGACAAACCTAACACTGTGCAAGACCAATATGGACATACGAAGTGAAACTGTGGCCAAGCCATCCAATATCCAACGCATCCTTCTAATCGGAAGTACTTAGAGAAATTGTTAAAGCACCTTATTATGTGTAACAAATTAACCTCACTATCCACAAAGACGTTGTCAACGAACTGATCCGGTCCAAATTCCAAACCTTCCATAACAACCTTTCGAACCATCCTAACCATACTGCTCGAGCCCTCTCCACTTATTCCCTTCCTGACAACCCGCCAGGTCGCCTCGGGACCTCCTTGACACCTAATCGTACACATTGAGTGCCAGCAATGGTTGGCTCCTCAAAGCATGTGTTCTACCGGTGCAGTGACATTAGTGCTGTGTGATATATTAATTATGTGTACATATTTGTATAGTATACGATCATGTATAGGTAACAAATAAATTAAAAATGTAGCCATTACACCAAATTCTGTTTGACTCTACTGCGATAGACAACGCGCTGACTTAATGTAGGCAACAACAACAAAAAGGTTTCGAGGGGCCACCACAAAAAATTCTTTTGTGACTGGTTCCATATATATGAAGACTTAAAAGTCTGTAGGTAAATTGGACATTAACAAATTTTAATAAATAAATCATATTAGGTTAGAATAATTCAAAATTTACTTCAACCGTTTAGAAATTGTTATTATTTCGTTCATAATAATTATGACTACTAAGAAAAGGAAGATACAAAAAGGTTTGTTACCGTTAAATTCCACAAATTACAAATAATAATATAATGTTTCAGCTCGAATGTTCCTACAATGCATGTTCTTATTTCCTGGTCACAATTACAGTAGGTTGACATTGAAATCGACTTGAACAATAAAGCGTTCGAGTTTTGAACGAGAAAATAAAAATTCCACCTTCATACAAAATGTTTTGATCCGTTTTTATGGGACGCAATGCCACAACATTTTAAATGAACATAGATCCGGGCAATTTGATTATTTCGACACCGCCTTAATGATTGTTTCCGAGCCGGTCCGTATCTACGAATAAATTTAAAAATTAGTTTCTAACTGTATGTCTCGTAAAAGAATTTCTGAAGGTAAAAATAGAACAATTTGTTACTTCCTTGTTGATTTGACAAGCCATTAAAGAAAACGGTACGTAATAAAATTAAATGAAATCATAGTTACATTTCTGTTAATAGGAACGGTGCTCATGCAAATATGTTATGAATGTACTGGCGCACAATGGGAGAAGGTCGATCTCGCGATGTTTTCTGTTTAGAACCTTTACTGTTATAAGGAATTTTAAGGATTTCACATTAATCGCCGCTCATTTACTTAAACCAATAAAGTATTATACATCGCCGGAGACACATTTAATTAACCTAAATGCGACTGTATTAATTCTGGGACACAACACTGCCTCACTTTCACACTAGGTGGCTGCACTTGGAACTTGGTGCAACCGCGCTGATGGATGAGGATGTCTAGGCCCTCACACACCATTGCACGCCGGGGGTTGTCCAGGCCCCTGTCGACACGCCACCACCAATACACAGGTCGATGCACGCGACCACCAACGGCCTCGGAACCCGAAAGTAACAAGCGCAAAATACCGTGCACAAATCACTACACATACAACATACAATTCTCATCAGGAGGAAGGATCTCCCGCTCTTTGGGTGTCCGTGAAACCTGCTCCTGTGAGGGTACCGGAGGAAAACTGGGTTACGGCACTTTCAGGCCGCGAGGTAGTAAAGGACCCGAAACCCAGACTAGCCACCGGGGGGAGGTATTACCTCGTGTATAATGTTGTGGTAGTACTGCCATCTGGCGACTGGGTGGTTACCGTGCTGGCCCTCCTGAGGCCAAAACGGTGAAGCACCCGAATGGGCCAGGGGATCACTTCCAAAGGCTGAGGATTGCACTCACCTGGTACACATACAACCTTACAGACAAAACACAAAAATAACGCCCAAGCTGAAGTTCGTCCCGCTCCCGGGCTGAGGGTCCCGGAGTAAACCCTGGCGGTTGCTCCTCCAAAAGGCGAAGTCGCCAAAGCCCCCCCGTTGATGGCGGGGGCAAACGAAACGGTGGCTCACGCCACCCTCTCCCAGAAGAGGTATCCCGGTGCACAGTTCCGAGGCATATTCCGACACCTTCCGACAAAGGAAAAACGAGACGGAACGCACTGAGATCGATGTCGGCGGCGACACCAGTGAAGCTTACAACATGCCTCTGACGATGGGAGAGTTCGAGTCCGCGTTGGGGCGCGTCTGGAATTCAAGCCCCAAGTGTGACGGTATCCCATATGAGATGCTTCGCCACCTTCCCCAGGGTGCGAAGTGGCGCTTGTTGGACTTGTTTAACAACGTATGGGATTCAGGCTCTTTCCCCGATCGTTGGCGAAAAGCGCTTATCATACCTATCCTTAAAGAGGGTAGGAACCCAAGCCTGGCTACGAGTTACATACCGATTTCTTTGACAACCGGCTTGAGCACAGTCCTGAAGTCTATGGTGAACGGTTGCCTGACCCTAGAGACAAAGGGATTTTACAACCAGTATCAAGCGGGATTCCGTAGGAATCGCTCTGCGGTGGATCATGCATGTCTTCTCGAGGGCGACTTTCACACGTCCTTGAACAGAGAGCACGATCTGGATGTGTTCTTCAACCTCGAGAAGCCGTATGATACGACGTGGAAATACGCGATACTACGGAAATGTTACGATTTTGATCTAAGAGGCGAATTGCCAAACCCTGGAGGAACCGTAGGTTCCGAGTCAGGCTGGGAACTGTGCTCTCTAGGGAGCATGTTCAGGAGAACGGTATCCCTCAGGGTTCGGTGATGAGCGTTGCGCTTTTCTTGGTGGCAGTGAACGGTATCGCGGACGTCCCCCCGCAGTTAAAGAAAATGGTCTTTGTCGACGACCTCTGTTTCTACCGTTTGGGTAAGGATCTGACGGAGGTCGGCGGTAGGATGCAGTCGGCGATAAACGATATGGCTGCGACAGCCGAGGAAACCGGGTTTACCTTTTCCACTTCGAAAACGGTGTGTGTTCACTTTTGCAGAATGAGGAGGGCCCATAGGCCCCTCACTCTGCCTGAGGGGCACATCTGTGCGGTATGTGGAGAAGTTGCGGTTCCTCGGCCTCCTGTTTGATGAGAAGTTGAGATGGCAGACACACATCGACGCCGTCGAGGTCCAGAGCAGGAAAACCCTTTCACTGTTGAGATTTGTTGGTCACTTTAGGTGGGGAGCGGACAGGGAGATTCTAGCGACTAGCTGCTTTGTTCGACGATCTTTAATGACTTATTCCTCGGCCCGAAAAACCGCGCCTCGAAAGGCTCTATTATCAGGGTCTCAGAGCGATCTCGGGGGCGTTCAGGACTAGCCCCTTGGCCAGTGTGTCCTGGGAGCTCGGGGTCTTGCCTCCCTTTCTTCGGAGAGAGCAACTTACCCTTGGTTACTCGGGATTCGCTTCGGTGAGTCCTTAGGGAGGGCCGGATTGGCGCTGGGGACGATACTTCGGTTGGGCTACAGGCCTGGACCTTTCCGGCCGTCCTCAACCGCGACGATCTGGCGAACTTACCCAAATCGTGTACTCCGCCATACGCCGGTGACCCATATAATAGAGGCGTGTCATGCGTTGGCTCCATACAGAGAGCGTGTAGGCATGCCGCCGGATTTAAGAAGGGTTCTAGAACACGGTAGCGAGTTTCAGGGTCCCCTGTTCCGCTTTTTAGGGGAATTAGGAATTTCTTTTGTTGTTGTATATAGCCTTCAAAATATGTGTTTTGTGTTTCCGTCTTGTATGAGTGAATGTATTTATTGGTGTGAATGGGGAGGGGATGATGGCGAAGTAGCTTTTCCATCGCCTCTTAGGTTGTGTGTAAGACTTGGGCCAATGGTGGAAATTTTATAAAAATACCCCATCGACCCCCAATTTAGATTAGTTTATTATAGTAAATAGGTAGATGGAGGAATATCCAGTACTCCATCTACCAAACAGTATGAGTGAGATCAATGTATATAGGTTTGAATGTATTTATTGGTGTGAT